GCACATTCGTTCTACACACCTTGCAGAACTTGTAGAAGTCTTCAAGGTACGCCTTGTAAAGGGTGTTCCGCATGATCTCAATGTTCATGTCGTCCAGATCCTGTAAAGAGAAGTAAGGTAAAGAGAATTAAAGCAAGAGGACGGACAAAAAGAACAGGCAGATCATTGCACAGGACAAAGAACAGAGCACCATAATGTGCTGTGAGAGAGTCAGAATCAGGAGAGACAAACACACGAGCTCGCATCCAGCAGCAGTTTGCTAGCTGCCGATACCATCATCATTCATGTGTGGCTTGGACTGCAAATTCCTTCCATCCAGTCACCCACCTCTGAGGTGATGCATTCAGAGAAGTAGGGAGCGAGGGGTGTGTCCACCAGCACCAGGCGGTACAGCTCCCTCATGTTCTGAGCCACGGCCAGGGTTGCAATGCTGCAAACGGAAAGAGCGAAGAACGCTTTTGTCAAGCATCAGTAGAAGATCCATTCAGAAAAAAAAAAAAAACGGAAGTAGCATCTCAAAACTTTACATGCAGGGCTGCTCCAATCCGTAATTACCCTTCAATCTTTGGTCATTCTCCAATCCCTGTTGAGCCTCCTGGTTAACCTCAACCCCCCCGATCCCTGGTTAACCTTCGTTCTCTGGTTAACCTCCGACTTCTGGCTACCCTCACATCCTCGGTTACCCTCTAATCCCAGGTTACCGTCCAGTCCCAGGTTACCTTCCAATCCCTGGTTACCCTCTGCTCTCCGGTTACCTGTCGAACATGCCGAGCGGGTGACATTTCTCCAGCAGCTCGTGCACGTCTCTCTCGTGCAGGGCGCCGCTCACAATGAGCACCACGTTGTCGATCATGTGGCCATACCTGCTCGAAGAAGCACGGGAAGCGGCGAAACAAAAGGGACAAACGTAACCATTACTATGGGGCCCTGGAAAGTCGGTTGTTATCTGATCCGCGGGGTACACGCGTGCTGAACTAGCAGCAATGCATCACCCTAAGTTGAGGAGCATCGGAGGGAAAATAGACAGCAAGCATACGCACGGTAAATCAGGTCGCTGAATGAACGCATGAAACAGTTAAAAGCAGTTCCGTTAGCCAGAGCAATCGATTCCTGCCGGTCTAGGATAAAAGCGTCGGACAGGTTGATCTTCGGAAGGACAAACCACCGAGCGCGAAAATGGTGGAGGTTGTCTAACGTGACGCGTCTTTTATCCACTAATGGATCATCTTCGAAAAAGTGGAGAATGCCTCACGTGATGTAGTCGAGAAAGGTGGAGAGGGGTTCCGTGGCCTGGCAGCGCATATGGTCGAACTCGTCCACCAGCTTCTGCGTGCACTTGTCGACGATAGTCGTCGTATGCAGCGGAGACGGCTCTGAGATGAGAAAACAACGGACAAAAGAGACATTGACTCGACATTGATTCAAGATCGACCATCAGTCATTGAGAAGAGAGCAACCGGTTATTTGCGGCGTAATGATAAGCGAGGTCCGAACAACACAATATCGATCGACCTCTTTCCATTAGGAATGATCAGCGATTTGATCTGCAAGTAGTAAAAAAGAGACGAGCGTGCTAACCGTTTTGTAAAAAGCCTCCATAGTCCGTTCCCGTGAGGTGGAGCTTAATGTCGTCTAGCGTCTCGCACTGGCACAGGTTGTTGTAATCAGCGGCTGTCAGCAGCCCTGACCGGTACCCTCGCACGATCGCCTCCAGGTAACCATCGTTAATGTTGAACGTGAGAGCCTCAAAACCGTACATGGTTGTGCTTTCGAAACCTAATGAAAAATATCCACGACTAGGAGAAATTAACTCTCCGGTAGAACACGAGATGGAGGAATCAAAAGGATCAGCGACTCGGCTCTTCCGACACACTTGAATTATACCAAAATATACGAACGGGGATCGTTTGCAGTGACTTCGACAAAACTACGCTTGAGAAACTGCCCTCGAGGTTACTAACCGGAACAGTCGTTGACCCTGACAGAGCAGTGATGAGTAGGCTTGAGAAGCTCACGCATATGGTATGTGCCTCGGGGATTCCTATCAGACAACTCCCAAGAAAATGTTCATAATAATATCGTGCACTGTAGCACCCTTCAGCTGACGCTCACTTCACCAGTCAGGGCAGGACGCACCAGTGACGGCTCTGTTACTCATGTATTGCTTCCCACCGATATGTTCTCACCTTGTGGTACCCTATACGCAGTGGAGTAATAAGTTCTAGTATGGTAGATCCAACCATGCTTAGAGATTAGGTACCGGTACCTTTCTATGTAATCATTCAGTGTGTATTCCTGTTTCCACATTAGATTCAAATAGCTGACTTTTCAGATGTCATTATATAATTTTCGGAGCAAGTCGGTGAAAGTTATGGATGGCATCTAAAACGGAAAACAGGCAGCAGAAAGTACCGTGCCAGGTCGTTGTAATGGGGCCAGGTTAAGAACCTTCCATCATGGTTGTGTTACCAGCAGTTTGACCAGAACAGTTGTGGCAGAATCTTACACCACAGTGCCCCAATGCGTTCAGATGAGACGTAACTACGTACATGCACAAAACAGCAAGGGTGAAGTCAAAGTTTTTCTGTTTAGAGGTGCGGGGCCTGTTGCTAACACTCAGCATACACAGACCCATCCCACATTGGATTTGGAAGCAACCAATCTTTCACCAACTGGGCTTCCCCTGTCCATCCAGTAGGCCGGACGTACAAATGCCCTGTCTTGTTTGATTGCACATGAACAACATCAGGCATATCCTGAAGCATTGCCACGAACCTCCAGCCCAAAGTCATCTCCCCTTCACCTCCAAATCCATGCTTAGTCAGAACAGAACCAAGAGGCTGGCCAAGTTTTTGTTCTACCCTTGTCTGGATCACCTGCAAAGGCACCCAGTGCTTGCCTTTTTCTGCTACGAGTGCTGCCAGTTCTTTGTGCACAAGCAGCCTCAATCTGGACTGGATGAGCCCAAGGGTTCTTAGGTTCTGCGGTGACGAAACGAGGCACAAAGTCTCCTGTTGAGATAAGTTGTGGCTGTCGTTTCGTGGAATGAGCTGAGAGTCTCCAAACATTGACCGCGTGCTGTATTCAGGTGCACGTGCACCACATCAGGAAGGGCATTTCGAAGACTTTTCACACGTTTCAACCCATGCTCCTTCAGCAGAAACAACTTACCCATAAGAGTGGCGAAGGCCCGAAGAAAATCTTCAATGCAGAGGGGACCACGAAATCTTCGCAACACAATGGCTAGCTGGGTCACATTCATTGGCAGGTAGAGTTTTTTTCTCCGCGGCTGGTTGCGACTCGACCATGGCTGCCAAGGGGGGCCCTGATGTGGACGGAACTGAGGAGTGTGCAGACTCAGATGACAGCACCCGATCCCAGTCATGAATGTCAGCTCCTGATTTCAGCAAGGAAGTTAATACCGACTGTGGCTTCGATGTGCAAGACAATGGTCGCGGTAGTTTGGTAATTATGACAACTTTGACACCCCGAGAAAGGAGTCTGGATATAAGAGGAGCGAAGCCAGAGTCACCAGTGATAAGCACCACGCATGAACGAGTCAACCTGAAATTAAACGCAACATCAGTACACCATTTTGCAAGAGAAGTCAATACACCCTTTTGCAAAAGTAAAGAAATATCATACCTGCAGCTTGACTGTACTCCCGTAGAACTCCCTTGCTCGTTAGCTTGCTTCTTGCTGAATCGACCTTTTGTGTCAAAAGCGAAACACATAACGTCCAGAATTATGGCCTTGTCTGCCATTTCCTTTCCTGACGAAACGTTGACGAAATTCACTCCGCATGCTGGCAGCCCTTGTGCACGTGAGCCAATAACTTCCTGTTTCCCATAAGCAGTAAATTGAACAATTTCTCCGTACGAACCGCCAAATTTTTGTAGTCGACGAGCAACGGATCCAGTCCTGCGTTTGCTTGGAATGGCTAAATTCTCAATGTCCCAAAAAACTCCGACGTAAGATTCTTGAACTAGTGTTTCCAGTTCATGCGAATGAGCGGTGCCGCTGTGGTCCGGGTCCACAATGCAGACCCCCTCATCCTGCTCGAGACACAACTTTGACGACCTTTTTCGTTTTCTAGCAGGAGACATGGACAGTCGCGTTTTCGTCACACTACAGTCGGGCGATAGCAACCTTTTCCTGGAAACTCAGTGCTTCTAGTTTATTTTCAGAAATCCTAGGCCCTCCGTACTAGTCATCAGCCCCTTCCGCTGTCTCAACTCGGAGTGAGGCATTACTGGGATGATGTATGACGATGGCGATGGTGGTGAATCTGGCGGGCTGAGGGTGGTGGGGTCGAGGGCAGACGACGCAAGGGCGTGGTCCAGGAGTCAGGAATGTGAGAGGTGGCGTAACCTGTTTCAATTCTGGTGACCGTCGCTGATTGCATATGTTTTTCGTCGACCATAGTAACCAACACGGATCTCCAAGTATATGCCGAATTCACACGACACGTTGCGTGCTTGGATATGATTCTCCGCGTTATGGCAGGTTGGTACACGACCCCCTTCCAGAATAAAAACATTCAAGTCTTTATAATACAAATGGACTACTACACTACTCTAACTAGTGTCAGTACATGTTTTTACTCAAGTACCTAGTGTGCGCGAAAAATATAGCGGCACCTATTCTCTACTTCCAGAGGCAAAAACTTCATCACAAAGAGAAAATGGCTTCAACCTTGTCGACCGCAATGTGGAAGGATCCGAGTGATGTTGCAAGGGAAGAGTCGGCAAACCAACGTGAGAAGGTCCTGAATGGGATAAGCAACGGCAAAGCACACGTCAGTGAACAGTCTGCTGCCCTTCTTCATCAGTCACTCCACTGATTACACTCACCATTGCATCCCAACCCAACATACAACCAATGCACCACCGGACTCAACCAATACACCACGCCACTCAACCAATGCACCACGCACTCAATAAAGGCACCACTTACCGAATGCACCACTCACCGAATGCACCACTCACCGAATGCACCACTCACCCAATGCACCACTCACCCAATGCACCACTCACCCGACCCACCATGCCACTCACCCAAGGCATCATGCCACTCACCCAAGGCACCATGCCACTCACCCAAGGCACGATGACACTCACCCAAGGCACCATGACACTCACCCAAGGCACCTTGACACTCACCCAAGGCACCATGACACTCACCCAAGGCACCATGACACTCACCCACGGCACCATGACACTCACCCACGGCACCATTCCACCCACCCAATGCACCATCTAGAGTATAACACTTACCAAGGCACGACGACACTCACCCAATGCACCACTCACCCGATGCACCACTCACCCGATGCACCACTCACCCGATGCACCACTCACCCGATAAACCACTCACCCGATGCACCACTCACCCGATGCACCACTCACCCGATGCACCACTCACCCGATGCACCACTCACCCGATGCACCACTCACCCGATGCACCACTCACCCGATGCACCACTCACCCGATGCACCACTCACCCGATGCACCACTCACCCGATGCACCACTCACCCGATGCACCACTCACCCGATGCACCACTCACCCGATGCACCACTCACCCGATGCACCACTCACCCGATGCACCACTCACCCAATGCACCACTCACCCGATGCACCACTCACCCAATGCACCACTCACCCGATGCACCAGGGCATGGAGTATCGCATGGAGCCGGTGAGTCTGACATCCATGCCATGCCACATGGGCACACACGCCTTGGCCCTCGCCACCTGCACCATTCTGCTCACCCAATGGACCATTCCACTCCACCATTGCACCACTCACCTAAATGACTGTGCCACTCACCCAATGCACCATGGCCTGGAGTACCACATAGAGCCCGTGAGTCTGACATCCATGCCATGCCACATGGGCACACACGCCTTGGCCCTCGCCACCTGCACCACACCACCACCACCGCTCCCTGCTTCCCCACTCCCCTGCTGCTCCACCCCCCCCCTCCCTCCACTCCACAGGCCCCCTTCCCCAGGTCTAGAGTCTGTACTCACACACACACCATCCCTGCCATTCCCTCTCCCATCAAGAGCCAATCCATTGCTTGTATTCACATGACTGGCCCTCATGTCGCCCCCACCAGCTGAACCCGCGCCTCTGCTGGCACCAGCTTGCATCTCCCTGTCTCGAATGCTGTTGGCATGCCTGTGTGGCCGTGTGAGCCGGGTGCTGCTCCACCGGCATGCGCACGTGTGGGCGGCGGAGAAGGGGCTGTGCAGGAGGAGGCGGAGGTGCGAGGTGGACGATGGCCAGTGGTGGGCGAGGTGCAGCTGGGAGAGAGGGCAGGGGGGAGTGGGAGGTGGATGGGAGCAATGGGCAAGAGGAAGAAGGAAGGCCCAAGTTATTATGCATATTTGAAAATATCTATCCACGCTGAGATGACATCACAAAGCATTCACCTTGTGTTAGCACAAGAGCCAGCGCATACAGCAAACCCTTAGGTTCATACACCAGCACGTTTCCAATAACCATCTCACGCACACACACACCTTACACAGCACATCGAGTCAACAGCATACGCCCATCCATTTAAACAAGGCCCTCACCCGAGCAACAGCCAGTCCCAGCAGGCGCACTCGTCCAGATGTCACCTGCACCGTGCCCGCCACAGGCATCACCTGCACCTTGCCCCCTCCCACCACCACCCGGGCAACACGGGCCACCGTGCTTGCGAGCCTGGCAGCCGGGCTGGCAGTGGTGGATGCTGGGCGCTTCGAGGCGGCTTTGGAAGGAGCGGTGGGGAGGGATGGCTTGATGACCACCCTGATGTCTGCAGGGTAGGCCTGTGTGCAATGGCGAACATCCATGCGAGAGGGAACACGTATGCAGGTATAGGGAAATGCATGGGTAGCATGAGCACAAACGCTTTGAGGCAGCTTTGGAAGGATGGGAGGGAGGAGATGGCTTGATGACCACGATGGTGTCTGAGGGGTAGGCGTGCGTCCGGTGGGAATGAACATCCACGCAAGGTAGAAAACGCATGCAGCTTTAGAAAGAGGGGAGGGAAGGCGGATGAATGAACATTCATGCGAGAGGCACTGAATGCAGATAAACGGAGATGCATGGGTAGCACGAGGGCAAATGGAGAAGGAGGGGTCAGGAGGGATGGCTTGATGGCTGCGGGGTAGGCCTGTGTGCGATGGCTGATGAGCGTGCATGCGAGAGTGATACGGAATGCAGGTGTAGGAAATCATGGAGGTGTCGAAGGAGCATGAGAAAAAAGGACAAATAGTTTTAACGCAAGACGAGGCCACTTAGACTAACGATAGCATCCTGAAGAGATTCCTGCCATACTGCTCCACAGTCAGCGCCACTGCATCATGCCACATCCTCATCACAGACTCACCTGATAGGGTCCGACGGATATAAGAGGGCGGTTCTGCCTCAAGCCTCTGGCGCTGGTGAGAGTGTGGAGAGGCATTGAAGGCATGGCTGGAGAGACTGGTGTGATAGCAGAGGGGGTGGCTGGAGAGGTGTGCTGGAATGGCAGAACTGGTGGGGATTCATGGGGAATAAAGAGAAACAGGAGTAAGCGGGAAGTTGGGATTTAGAGTAGGAGTGGAGGGAGGGTGCAGAGAAGGGAGGGACAAGCGGGAGGGGTGAGGCTGGCAAGGAATGCATGTCGAACAGGCTTCAGGGAGGTGATAAAAATCGTGTGCCCGAGGGCTCTATGTCCAATTGCATATTGCCATGTGGCATCATTTGCTGTAGCCTATATTATAACGTCGAACTGGCAAAAGGCTACGCATAAAGAAAAAGTGCTTCACAGTGAAAATAGAGGCAGAGAGATGATAGGCCGGCGGCAACACGAGCACACGTGCATGCACTGCCGCAAACAGCACTGTGAGGCATCATGCATATGCGTTTGCATGGAGGGACTCGTTGGATCACCTGAAAGTTGAATCCGAGTTGATAAAGACCCAATCTCTGCTGGAACTTCACCAGAAGCCTCTCTGGTACCCAGTCCAACGACACACACTCCCTCAAAGCCCCCACCACCCCCACAGTTCCCACCACTCCGCTCCCTCCTCCCCTCCTCTCACCTCCAGCAACCAACACACCTCCTCCAGTCACTGCATTGCCTCCTTCCCCTTCCGCTCCCATCCTCTCAACCCCACCAACACCCCCTCCTGTACCCATGCCAGCTCTCCCCCACCCCTCTGCACCGCTTTCAACACCAGCCCCTGCCCGTGCTTCCTGGTAACCACGGCCTGCACTGTGAGCCTCAGGCAGCGCCACAGCACTGTGAGACACAGACTGCGCCACAGCACTCGTCACAGCACCAGTCATCTCCCATACGGGCGGCGCAGAGGGGCGAGGGAGCCACTCCCAACCACCATCACCTCCAGCAACCCCCTGCCCCTCCCTCTGCCCCTGCCCCTGCCCCTGCCCCTGCGCATGCCCCTGCATCTGCATATCACCCACGTCTCGCCCTTTTCCCCCCATCTGCACGACAGCTCCCCTCTGCGCCTGCTTCTCCCCCCCTCCACCCTCCCCATGCTGTGCTGCTACCCCCCGCACCCACCCCCACCCGTCCCTTCCCCCGCTGCACTGCTCCGTGCCCTGCCCACACGTCTCCTGCCGTCCGCCTTGCATCCCTTTCACATGCTCCTGCTCGTATGCACACTGCCAGTCCTCCCCTCGCCCACTGCCATCGTCCCTGCCTTTGCTCTGCTCGCCTCTACTGCATCCAACCCCCAAGCTCCCCACACGCCCCTGCTGTTGCTGCCTGCCCTCCGCGCCTCGCGCCTGTTCGTACGCGCGCTGCCAGTCCTCCCACGACACTGACACGGCGGCCGAGCCATCCTCGTTACAAGCTGACTGGATGCGACTGGAACTGCCTGCTTGGCCGTCTGGCGGTGCTGTGCTGCCCGTCAGCCAAGCGGATAGAGCAGTCCTGTGAGCGATGATTTGGGTAGCGGGGAAGAAAGCGCACGAGGGGGGAAAACGTAAGGTGTTTGATGGGTAGAGTTCGACGTGTGCTGAAGCCAGACTCAACACACACGTCAGCCTTGCGGAGAGAGGAGACTTGAGGGCGATCAGGTAGGGGGACAGAAAGGGCATGAGCGGGAAAGGGGCCGCGTGTGGGAGAAAGAGAAGGTAAACGACACGGGGGCAGAGAGGCGAGAGGATCGGGAAAAGGCGCTAAGTGACGTGTCAAACACGGATTGGATTCTGCTATACCTACGTACTAACGGTAATCACCAACGGAGGTACCTCATCCGATCTCTCCGTGTGCTCCGCTCTGCAGCCTTCGCCGCGCGCGAGCAAGCCGCAGAGAGCGCCAAGGGGTTCGTTCGCCTTGACGCTTCGCCAAGGGGTTCGTTCGCCTTGACCCTTCGCCAAGGGGTTCGTTCGCCTTGACGCTTCCCCAAGGGGTTCGTTCGCCTTGACGCTTCCCCAAGGGGTTCGTTCGCCTTGACGCTTCGCTAACACCTCGTTAGCTGCTCACACGCCGAGGGGACCCCTCTCGACGAATACCGATCAGGCGATCCGAGCGTGAGCCGGAGAATTGAGCGGCAGGAAGGAGTAGGGATTTCATGAGATGCAGTTTGAAGCACCAAACTCTCAGAGTTTCAAGGCCGTTTCAGAAATTCAGATCATGCTAGACGGTCGTGCATGATGGCATCTTCGCAAGTGCTCGCACTCAGGCGGGCCTTGCGATCCGGAGGCGTCCATTCTCCCTGCCTGACGGCGCTGCCGTGACGCGCACTCCGCGCATCCCGCGCTCTCCGCGCACTCCGTACTGCATGGTGTTCTGACTCGCGTCACGTCCCCCTGCGGATTTCATCCAGCCTGACAGAGACATTACAGCGTCCGTCATGCGCTGCGACGCGACACCTCGCGACTCGGCAAAAAGGGTACAAAACGGGTCTGAAAAGGACGAAACGACACGTTATGCATGTCACGCTTCGCTATGTCAGGTGGTAGAAAGGTGATGTGGGTGGGTCGTGGTGGATGGACACCATCGCTGCACTTCCAACTCCTGATGCGGTGGGGTACCGAAAGGTACCGCACGGTACGGAACGATGAGGATTCGAGATAATAATCACAGGAGGTGAAGGTCTACTACTGTAAGCCGCGCCAAACCGTGATGCACCTTATCATTATGTGAAAACGAATTTCTGGATGGGCCCATAGTTTGAATTTCCATTTTCCCGAAGTCCCCAAGTTCCCCAACAAGAACTCATGTAACTATGGCATCTAGAGATTTCTTGATCTAATGTTGTTTGTTAAAGCTGCGGTCTACATACTAAGTTGCGTTTTGGGGGGTATTGTCGATGCACACCCTTTCACGCAGCCTGATTGGAAAGCGAAGTCAACTCGTTTCTGAAACACAGGAGCGATGAAGTCACGCAAGCACGCGAATCCAACCCATTTTCGTGGGCTGGGGGAAGAGTCCGCGGAAGGGCGGAAACCACTTGGGGAGTTCGATATCGGGAAAGGGACCCCCACCCCCCTCTCTCCACCCCCCTCAACCGTTCTATTTGCAGGTTAAGGGGCCGAGTGAAAAACCTGGTCACCTGGTTTTCAAGTGATTAACCAGACCCCCCCGCTCGAAGTATGTAGATCGCAGCTTTAAGTAGAAATCACATTGGTTTTTTTTAAATAAGTTCTTACGGTAGTTTAACAATGTAGGCATATGAATTGCATCACTCAGCACACAGGGGTGGAACAAGCTGCCAGCGAGGTTAGATGTGGTGTACAAACCTGGAAATGGTCGTTCATGTTGCAGATCCGCGATGCCAACATGTTGAAATATATTTCTTATATAAACTGCTTGTAGCAGTAGTTAGTGTAGTGTTACATTGGTGGTGCACCTCATTCCCTTGTCCCTTGCACTATATCTTGTATCTTGCTCATTAGTGAATCACCCTTTCTCCTTTGCTCAACCATCTCGACACTCATGCCAATACCTTCAACCCTAGCTATGGCTACTAAGTTCTAGCTAGTGTTTTGATATGGTATCAGAGCGGTTACTTTCCTAGGACCTTTCTCAATGGGCCCACCGTTCGCTTCCGCTGCTGTTCTTTCAGTCGCGCGCCCCGGGCGCGTGACGATTTTCTTGCCTGTCACGCGCCCCGGGCGCGCGACAATTTCTGACCGCCACGCGCCCCGGGCGCGCGACGGTTTTCTGCCCGCTGCGCGACCCGGGCGCGCGGCGGTTTTCTGCCCGTCACGCGCCCCGGGCACGCGACGGTTTCCTTGCACCCGTGCGCCGCCCTGTCAGAATATGTTATTTGTGTAGCCTGCAGTGGGGTCCTCAATAGTGAGTACAACCCCTTAGGGTTTGCTATTTGTATCCTGCTGCTTGCTAGTTCAACCCATCATTCCTTCTCAATTCTCTTCGTGCACACATTCCTAGCTCGTACTTGGCGCCTCCCTTCATAGTCCTACTGTGGCCTAGGCTACTGAGCCTAGGCCGTCTTCCTAGTATATTTGACATGGTATCAGAGGGCGGCATGTCTGCCGCCTTCCTGTGTATGGGCCCACCACCTGCTTCTTCTGCTGCTGTACTGTCCGCCGCGCGCCCCGTGGTGCGCGGCGGCGAAACCCTAATTTCTGCCCGCCGCGCGCTCGGGGCGCCTGGCGGTTTTCCCTTCCGTGGCGCCCGTCGTGGTGCCCTTAGGGGGGCCTCCGCGGTCCCCTCCCGTCGAAGCGCCCGTCGAGGCGCTTTCGGGGGCCCGCGCGGCCTCCCCTCCCGTCGCCCGTCGAGGCGACCTCGGGGACCCGCGCGGCCTCCCCTCTTGTCGCCCGTCGAGGCGACCTTGGGGGCCCGTGCGGCCTTACCACCAGTCGCCCGTCGTGGCGACCACGAGGGCCGCGCGCGGTCCCCTCCCGTCGCCCGTCGAGGCGAATTCGGGGGCCGTGTGCGGCCCTCCCCGTCGCCCGTCGAGGCGACTTCGGGGGGCCCGCGCGGCGCCCTCCCCGTCGCCCGTCGAGGCGACTTCGGGGGGCCCGCGCGGCGCCCTCCCCGTCGCCCGTCGAGGCGGCTCTGGGGGCCGCGCGGCTCCCTTCTCGTCGCCCCTCGGGGCGCCCTGGGGGCCGTGCGCTTCCCCCCCCCCCCCTCCTCCTGCCCTTCAACTGCGGCGGCCGCCCCTGGAGCCGCCCGCCCCTGGAGCCGCCCGCCACTGCAGCAGCAGCCCCTGGAGCCGCCCACCACTGCAGCAGCAGCCCCTGGAGCCGCCCTCCACTGCAGCAGCCGCCCCTGGAGCGGCCCGCGCTTGCAGCAGCCGCCCCAGGACCCCTGCAGCAGCCCACGGCCCGCCCCTGCAGTTGCTCGTGATGCCGTCCCTGCACCCCATCCCCCCCCCCCCCCCCCCGTGCTGCCCATTCTCCCGTTCTGCCGTGTGTTCCGCAGTGGTTGGAGGGTGGGGTGGCGAGCATGGGGGTGAGAGGTGTGGGCTTTCCCCTTCCCTTTCCCCTCCTCCTCTTTCGTCTCCCACTGCTGCAGCTGCCGCTGCGGGGGGGTGGAGGTGTGGGAGCCGTGGGGGGTGGAGCTAGGGGGGTGATGTGGGAGTGGAGCTAGGGGTGAAACTGGGGGTGTGTGTAGGGGGGTGTGGGACAGTTGGAGGAGGTTGAGTGGAGGCAGCCGTCTTGTCGTCTGCAGCGCCTGTAGTCCGGAGCCGTCGCGCTCTACTAGCCCAGCGAGCCTGCTGCGCCAGTCGCCCGTGGGTCCGTTGCTCCTGCCGCTCGTCGTAGCCGCAGAGCCTGTTACTCCTGTAGTCCGGAGCCGTCGTGCTCTCGGTAGCCACAGTGCCAGCTGTTGCTCCTGGTGCTCGTGTGTCTGCAGCTTCAGTCGTCGCCTCCCATCTTCTCTCCACTCACAGTCCCCCCTCCTCCTCACTTGCCCTCTGTGACTGCCTCTAGCTTTGCTCATAATTGTGAACTACTGCTATGTCTGCTCATTGTGCTGATTTCACCCCACTTTGGCTATGGGGGTGTGTCAGAATATGTTATTTGTGTAGCCTGCAGTGGGGTCCTCAATAGTGAGTAAAACCCCTTAGGGTTTGCTATTTGTATCCTGCTGCTTGCTAGTTCAACCCATCATTCCTTCTCAATTCTCTTCGTGCACACATTCCTAGCTCGTACTTGGCGCCTCCCTTCATAGTCCTACTGTGGCCTAGGCTACTGAGCCTAGGCCGTCTTCCTAGTATATTTGACACGCCCCGTGGCACCCGCCGTGGTTGCTACATCCTAACCTTTCCTACATCCTCCAGACCGCTTGTTATGGCTTCGCTAGGAACTGTTATCTTGAGAATGAAACCACAGTAGTTTACGAAAACATACACGCAGTGGCAGTCTCATGGCCCAGGGTCCCACCTTATGCTTCCCACTCTAGCCTAGCAAGGCAACTCTATAGCAGGTGAATGCCACAGAACTAGCTTGCGACCCAGTCTCCACACATTGCCTTTCTCCAGCTGGGGTGTTGTGTTCCAGCTCCTCCTGGACTCGGTGTCTGCAAACAGAAACAAACACATTCGCATGCACACCACTCTCACACATCATCTTGCCAGCCACCTCGTTACCCTGCCATCCTCCTTGCTCCCTTCGCCGCCCTCGTTCGTTTCCCTTTTGGATCATTCCCACCGCCAGGTGTCCCGCCCACCTCCCTGCCCCGCAACCTCTCCCTTATCCTCGGTTTGACGAGCCTTGGTTATATACAAATGTACAGCCCCTAATTCTTTTGCACACCCCTGTCAGAAAGTCTTAGGCGTCAACCTCAGAATTCTGACACCACGTGGCGCAACGCCTCGCTGACAGCTGGCGAAAGGCACTCTGCCATGATGGCCTGCTGTTGTGTCCCGGCTTGGCCCACATGATTCTGGTTGTTTAATAGGGCAGCAGCACTAGCACCACCAACAACACCAGCAGCACCTGCTGGACCACCAGCACTAGCAGTGTAACCAGAAGAACCAGCAGCACCGGCAGAGGCGTGTGTAGCAGAATCACCTAAAGATCGCAGGAAGAAAGCCACCAGCATGTCATGATTCCCCACAATCGCCAGCATTACCTCTCTGCGCCCTCCGCCCCTTCCCCCCTGTCCTATCCTCCCTCCCCCATGCCGTCTCCTCCTCCCTCAATGGCAGATCCCACGCGCCCGTCCCATCCCGTCCATCGATATAAGCCCGGCGCGCCACAGCCGTTGGATCGGTGTTGGCGATCACAGGCCTGATTTGCGACACGAGGGAGTGGGTGATGGAGAAGTCATCAGACTTTAGAGGGAGGTAGGCGGGGCGGGCATCCATAGTGTCGTACCAGCGGGAGAGGGCCGTGAGAGCGCTGGCAGAAAATCGCTCGAGGAGAGGCGCGGGGGTCACGTCGACGAGGGAGAACTGCTCGGGAGGTGGGGGTGGGTGCGGAACGGGAGTGAGGGATGTTGTGGTGATAGTGCAGCAGAGACAGTTTGCTTCCAGTGGGTATTCGCTTGAGAAGAGGCTTGTGGGTCACATCGGGAGGTAGGGGTGGGTGCAGAATGGAAGTCGGAAATGTGGGAAGTTGGAGGAGTGGCTTGAGAGATGTTGTGGTGAACTGCAGTGCCATGGTGAGTGGAGCACGCTGACAGATCTACATTGGAGGTGGGGTTGGGTGTGGATGAGTAGTGGAAAAATCAAGAGCACATGGGGCAGAGGCGTGAGAGATGTCCTTGTTGAAAGTATGGCATACGCAATTTTGTTCTTAAAAGAGGACCCATGAACGAGAGGCTTGATTGATAAACAAGGTCATGAGAGAAGACTGGTACTAGTGAGACAGAGTGCAGTATGTGTCGCACTTGTGACACACTAGTGACACACTTGTGACACACTTGTGACACACTGGTGACACACTTGTGACACATTGGTGACACACTAGTGACATACTGGTGATACACTAGTGACACACTGGTGACACACTAGTGACACACTGGTGACACACTAGTGAGACACTGGTGACACACTGGTGACATACTGGTGACACACCAATGACACACTGACATCCGTGTACCTGCCATAGCCACCGTGCATGGGAATAAATATTTTTCCTGTAAAATTTGCATTGGGAAGAGAATAATTGCGCTTGCGAAGTAGTCCGAAGACACAACGGAAGGTAACTGTGAAATTGATTGTGATGGATGATCACTAGAGTGACTACCAAACAGGCGAGACTGAGTGCTATCATTGTGAAGCTGACAGACGAACCTCTCTCCCAAGGAAGTAAGGCCCTCCTCTCTTCACCAAAGCCACTTCTACTGCATCCACCGCCGCCTCAAACTCCCTCCGCCCCTCCCTCTCCTCCTCATCACCTGCACCCTCGCCAATGCCACTACTGCTGCTTCCGCCTCCACTACCATCGGCAATCCAGCGCATGGCATCCTTCCCCTTGGTCCACCTGAGCCATGCCCGGGTCAACCCCCTCTCTAGACCCATCATGTAACGCACCACCTAACTACTACTACTTCTTTCTAGTCTCGGTCGAGAAGTCTCTCGACAAAAATTGGGCTACGGGTGTTGAAGGATGGGTTGGGAGAGAAAGGTTGGCTTGGGATTCCAACCCTCAACGTTGAGGCTTGGAACTTTTTAACCCAACAAATGTGAAGATTGAAAAGTTGGATTTCCAACCAATCAGAACTTGCCAGTTGTTGTTACAATCCAAACAAACTACAAATCAACCATACAATGGAATTAAGTTTGGTTTTCCCAACCAAACAAAGATGCCACCTAGGCTCCAAGCCTATGAGCTTCCCAACCATGGAAGCTATGGTTGGGGAAGCCCCCAAGAGGTATTGTGGAAGGGATTGGAGCTAGCAAGCTCATTCCCCACTTCCCAACTTTAACACACCAAATTGGAAATGGGATTTCTCCACGTCTTTGGTTTTCTCTAACAAGCTCTCCTACACAACTAGAGTTGTGTTTTTCTTCAAGGACAAGCTCTACAAGAAGCTATCTACCTACTTACTAAAGCCTTATCAACACTCTTCAAGTTTTCCTTCTACTCTCAAGCTTCAAGTGTGTTATCAAGGCTAGGATTATCCCTTGGTGGGATTAGTTGATTGTTAAAGCCTTGTAACTTGATTTTACATATGTTATACAAGGAGGATTTTTATTAACACACGGTTGCCCGTTGTTATAAGGGCCGTGGTTGTTACATTGGTATCTAGAGCTAGGGTTATCATAAGCATAGTGGGGAGTTTCCCCTAGAGAGTATTTTTAATACAGATCTTGGAGTTGTTGATTTCTCTGTAAGAGAGCACTCAAGATCTGGAAGCTTGAAGGTTGAAGAGTGCAAGATCTACAAGATCTACAACTGTAACTTCAAGCTAAGAAGAGATATTTATCTCTCTTGCCCACCTTTTGGTGGAAGCCTCTCTACTGTTGAGTAGTGGAGTATAAACTAAGATCTGGAGGATTTTTGTTGAGGGTTATTCAAGTTATCTTTATTGCGATTTGGATAGACCCCGCCCTTTCATTTAGGTGATTGGGAGAGTTGGCAACAAATCTGTTACCTTTGGTGACCTTGAGTTATTCTGTAGAAGAATTTTATTTTACAAGAATTTCTTGCTTTACCATTGAGGTGGTAAAAGGATTTTAACATAATCAACCAAGATCTCAAAAGCTCCCTTAATCCTTATGGCATATGGCCAAGAGAAGGACATGGCAAGGGAGGAAGGGCCCACTGCACCTAATGAGGTGGTGAACAATGCTGTTGAGATTGACCTCAATCAAGATGAGGCAATGGCTGACATTGAGCTGGATGACATTGAGGACATAGATCTTGGAGATGAGGATAACCATATTGAAGCTGATAACCATGGTGATGCTGATAACGATGGAGAAGCTGATAACCATGACGAAGAGGAAGACATCGGTGAAAAGGAGAACACTGGTGATGAAAATGACTTCACTGAAGGTGAAGGCATGAGTTATGCTATCTCCGAGGAGATTGTCAAGCTCCAGGCTCGAGTGTCGACCCAGAATATCACCATACTATAGCAGCAGACGTCCATTGATGGACTCACAAGGCGTACTCAGAATCTTGAGGTTGCGTTGGGCATTGCTACGAAAGAGGTCCGTGAATTTCGGCACAGCCTGGGTACTAAAAAACGCCAAATTGTGGAGCTTCAGGATACTTGCAACAATATGCTGCATCATTCAACAAGCTCCATGAGCAGTTCAGGGAGCTTAGGAGGGAGGGCATTTACCAGCCTCCTCCTGGGCGTAGACCCGCTCCTACTGCTCAGCCAGCCCCTGCTCCGCCCGCACCTACGCCTGTTGGCGCTGCAACGGCTATGCACCAGCCACCTCCAGCCGAGACTTCACCCTTTGGGTCCCTCTCAGCGCCTCTGCCGGAGTTCCTCCATGGCAAGACAGAGGTGGAGCCTTGGCTTGACCTGGTGGATACCACCATGACTCTTGCGAATGTGCGTCCCGAGGCTCGCGTCACCGCAGCTACTCGTGCATTGGACGAGGTGGCTCGCAGGGCGGTGTATGGCGCTAAGAAGCAGGCGCATGGACCGTTCGAATGGCCGGAGTTCTGCACCGCGCTGAAATATGCATTCATGGTCAAGAAGTCTGACCTAGAACTACGCGGACGCCTATCAAGTGTCGTGACTGTTCGGTGCAGGACTATGCGGTCGAGTTCGAGGCCGTAGCACGCAAGCTCGAAAAGCCCTTGTCTGAGAAGGAGATGATGCACACCTGCATCAAAGGCCTCCCTGTCAAGCTGCAGCGGGCGCACATGACCGGTGGCATGACCAATTGGAGGACTTACAAGGAGCTGAAGGAGCAGGTGATCAAAACTGATACCACCATTCGCACGTACCTGGATGGTCCCGAGGAGCCAGGCCAGCAGACTCGTGCTGAAGGTTCTGGTGGGCGTGGGAACCGACCCCAGAATGCCAATGGCGGAGGCGGTTGGAACAAGCGACCTTTCCAGCAGCGTGGTCACCAGCCCGGATCGTAGGCCAAGAAGGCTAACGGAGGGGGAGGGCGTGGCCCTAACATCCCAGACTTCTCCGATAAGCAGTGCAATGGCTGTTGAAGGATGGGGCACATCGAAAGGCAGTGCCGTGACAAGAACCCAATCAAGTATTCCAGGAAGCCTAAGCCAGGCGACGCTGGACCTTCTGGAAAGAAGGATTTTTTGAAGCCCAACTAGGGTGTGGGTACCTAGTTGGCGGATTAGATCGAGTGGATGAGGCATATGTGCTATGTGATTATGATATATCAAAGCTAGAGAAGCTTGCTGATTGCAGAATCTCTTGCTTGTTTGCCTCTTCTTTCAATAAAAACTCTGCTTTTTATCCTCGATCGTACCCACTTGAGAAAATCTTTATGGAAGCAATGCAGGATAAATTTTCAATCATTTTCTGTGGCTTGGACATTCTGCCTTCTGTCATTGAAATTGTGAGTCGTTGCACTCAAGAGCACCCCCTGACTTCGGTCGCGTTGGTGACTCACACAGTGACTTCGTGGATGGCCGGTCCTAGTGGCGTGGGACAAGGGACACCATGTGTGGTGGACCCACTCTCAGTCACATGGACGCGCTCGTCACAACGTCAAGGTGTATTTCAAACCTTCGACCAATGTTGTGGCATGTCCTATTCGCCCAAAGCATCAACAAAATTTGTTGCTTGCGGGTAGCGAGAACGGGGAAAACGAAAAAAATCCTTTTTGATACGTGTGCAACCAATTCTCTCTTTGATGAAAAGTGGGTCTCAGGACGCACGATCCTCGTTGAAAGACCGTCTTGCCCCATTCGCCTTGGTGATGATAGAATCATCCCAAGTAAAGGGCAGGCACGGATCAACATGGAGATTGAGGGATATCGAAAAAAAAAAATGCGCATATGTTTTACCCCTTCTCGCAGGTGTCGACCTTGTCCTTGGAATGAATTGGCTTCGAGCGAATGAAGTCAAACTCGATTTCCAGGACAATACGGTCTCATTCTCAGAGAATGGTGACATTGTCCAGTGGCAAGTGCCTAAGGACTTGATCAAGAACGACCATTCCACGTTGGATCGCCCCGACGTGAGTTTTGCGCTTGCGAATAAGTTCGGACAGCATGTTCGACAAGCCGATACATTCTTTGTGGTACAGCTTGAGAATGCTGAACACGAACTGCCTGGGGTCGAGGATTTTCCACCTCAGTTGAAAGCACTGGTAGACGAATTTGCGGAGGTTTTTGAGCCTATCCTAGATGGCCTTCCTTCGGACCGTGCAGTCGGTCATACCATCCCCGTGGAGCCTGAAAAACTCCCACCGTTCAGACCTTTGTATCGCCTCAGTCCAGCTGAGTACGAGGAGGCTAAACAGCAAATTGAGGAGTATATCATAAAGGGATGGATTGAACCAAGCGCATCACCTTACGGAGCGCCGATCTTGTTTGTTAACAAAAAAGGTGGAGGATTACGCATGTGCTCTGAACAAGATAACGGTGAAAAACAGATACCCCTTGCCAAGGAATGAGGATCTATTTGACAAACTCCAAGGTGCCCAGTGGTTCAGCGCATTGGATCTTGCTCAGGGGTATCACCAATTGCGCATCACTAAAGAAGATGTACCTAAAACGGCTTTCCGATCACCGTTTGGTCATTTTCAGTGGCGCGTGCTGAGCTTTGGCTTGACCAATGCTCCTGCCTCTTTTCAGAGGGCTATGAATGATGTCTTTCGCGAGACGATTGGACAGTTCGTTTTGGTCTCTCTGGGTGGAAGACAAGACGGAAGAGGAGCACACGCAACACCTTAAGTGGGTGTAAGAGAAACTACGAGAGCACAAGTTCTATGCCCGTCTGTGGAAATGTCATTTCTACAAACGCGAGTTGGAATATCTTGGCCATCTCGTGGGAAATGATGGTCTACCCAAAGAAAGTTGTCGCAGAACTGGCCGGTGCCACAAGACGTGGGTCAAGTCAGGTCGTTTTTGGGACTGGCGAACTATTTTCGTCGATTCTTGCAAAATTATTCTACCATTGTTGCTCCATTGACGGCCCTTACTCGCAAGAGTAGCGCTTGGCAATGGACACAGCAATGCCAAAAGGCATTCGACGAGGTCACGCGAATGCTGACCAACGCTCCGGTACTGGTTTTACCAGATCCGACGAAACCCTATGAGGTTGTTACTGACGCCTCATTGATAGGGATTGGGGCTGTCCTCTTGCAAGAGGGGAGACCAGTGGCATTTGAGAGTCGAAAGCTCTCCCCGGCAGAGCAGCACTATACGACGTCCGAACCGGAACTGTTGGCGGTCGTTTGTGCGCTACGAACATGGCGATGTTATCTGGAGGGTGTGGACTTTGTGGTTACGACCGACCACTGTCCAAACGCATACTTCTCCACCCCAGGCCACGCTTACTCGACGTCAAGCCCGATGGGCGGAACTCCTTAGGGGGTTCACTTTCGATATTCGATACCGAGCAGGTTCGACGAACCTGGCTGACCCCCTCAGCAGACAGCCGATAGGGGCAGCAACACGGCTAGACAACACGGAAGATGCGGCAGTATTTTCTGCTGGTTTCAGTGTCCTAGCAGCAGCTCAAGTGAGTGAGATCACCTTCAGTGGTTTTCTGAAACGCATCCGCACAGGGTATCAAATTGACTCCTGGGTTCAGAACCCACAAAACACGAAGGAACTCAAGTGGGAGCATGAGCTCTGGTGGCGTGAGAAGGAGATTGTTGTACCTCATATCGGTAACCTTCGGAATGAAATTCTCCAAGAAGTGCATGCCACTAAGTACGGAGGACACCTAGGGGTCAAGAAGACCAGGTGGGCCTTGAGTGATGTGTACTGGTGGCCGGGACTGGGCACTGAGGTCCAGCAATTCGTGGCGCAATGCGATGCATGCGCACGAAATATAATGGACACCAACACGCTTGATCACCTAGTCTAGGTCGAGAAGCCCCTCGACAGAAATTGGACTACGGGAGTTGAAGGATGGGTTGGGAGAGAAATGTTGGCTTGGGATTCCAACCCTCAACTTTGAGGCTTGGAAGTTTCTAACCCAACAAATGTGAAGATTGAAAGGTTGGATTTCCAATTAATCAGAACTTGCCAGTTGTTGTTACAATCCAAACAAACTACAAATCAACCATACAATGCATTTAAGTTGGGTTTTCCCAACCAAACAAAGATGCCACCTAGGCTCCAAGCCTATAAGCTCCCCAACCATGGAAGCCATGGTTGAGGAAGCCCCCAAGGGGTATTGTGGAAGGGGTTGGAGCTAGCAAGCTCATTCCCCACTTCCCAACTCCAACACACCAAATTGGAAATGGGATTTCTCCAAGTCTTTGGTTCTCTCTAACAAGCTCTCCTACACAACTAGAGTTGTGTTTTTCTTCAAGGACAAGCTCTACAAGAAGCTATCTACCTACTTACTAAAGCCTCATCAACACTCTTCAAGTTCTCCTTCTACTCTCAAGGTTCAAGAGTGTTATCAAGGCTAGGATTATCCCTTGATGGGATTAGTTGATTGTTAAAGCCTTATAACTTGATTCTATATATATTATACTAGGAGGATTTTCATTGTTATAGGGCCGTGGTTGTTACACATCAGCTTCTCTGCTGCCGCTGCTGCATGCGTATCAGAGGGAAGGGGGAGGAGCGGCAAGTGGTTGGGGAAGGCGGATTCGATTTCCTTCATTACAGTCACGGACTCTGTGATCACGCGACCGTCTAGCTGGGAGCATGGAGAGGCCGTGGAATTAGGGGGTGCAGGAGGTGTAGGAAGGGAGTTGGTTTAGGTGTGATGTGTTGCGTTATAATCGAGACAAAAGCATTCCGCTCTCTGTCATCCAAGAGTCTGTCAAACTTATATGTTGCATGTTGTGTAGGCTGTAGTGGGGTAGCCCATATGGAGTACAACACAAATTAGGGTTAGTACTTGTACCCATCATGCTTGTTTTCACATTCTGACATGGTATCAGAGCAGTAGGTCCGTATGACCGTTTTTTTTACGGGCCCACCATTACCTAGTGACCGACTGCGGTTACCGCGTTACCCCACGCCCTGCCCTGCGCTGCGTCGTCAGCGCGCGCCCTGCCCTGCCCTGCGCTGCGCTGTCAGCGCGCGCCCTGCCCTGCCCTGCCTTGCGTCACGCTGCCCCGCGCACGCCCTGCCCTGCCCCGCGTCGCGCTGCCCCGCGCACGCCCTGCCCTGCCCAGCGTCGCACTGCCCTGCGCACGCCCTGCCCTGCCCCGCGTCGCGCTGCCCTGCGCACGCCCTGCCCTGCCTCCCGTCGCGCGCCCCTGCAGCCCGTCGCGTCGCGCGCCCCTGCTGCCCGTCGCGTCGCGCGCCCCTGCTGCCCGCCGCGCCGTGCGCCCCTGCAGCCCGTCCCGTCGCGCGCCCCTGCAGCCCGTCGCGTCGCGCGCCCCTGCAGCCCGTCGCGTCGCCCATCGGCCCTGCCCGTGCCCGTCGCGTCGCCAGAGCGGGCTGCCCCAGCCCGCCGCGACGCCCGTCCGCCCTGCCTGCCTGCGCGCCGCCCCTGCCCGCCCCGCGTCGCGCCGCCCCGTGCAAGCCACCCGCGCGCAGACCCTTGCAGCCCGCGCGCTGCCCGTCTGCAGCCCGCGAGCCTCCCCTGCAGCCCGCGAACCGCCCCTGCAGCCAGCGTGCCTGCCTCTTGCAGCCAGCGCACTGCCCCTGCAGCCCGCGAGCCACCCCTGCAGCCCGCGAGCCGCCTCTGCAGCGCCCAGCGCGCCCTACCAAACCCTAAAATAATTAATAATTTAAAAAAAAGAAAAAAAGAGGAGCCCTAGGTGCTGCTGCCCTAGGAGCTACTGCTTGCTGCTGCGTGATACTGCCCTGCTCTGCCCGCACGCCGCCCTGCTCTGGCCGCACGCCGCCTTGCTCTGGCCGCACGCCGCCCTCCTCTGGCCGCGCGCCGCCCTGCTCTGGCCGAGCGTCGCCCTGCTCTGGCCGCGCGCCTCTCTGCTCTAGCCGCGCGCCGCCCTGCTCTGGTCGCGCGCCGC